ACAGGAAGATGTATTTACGGTGAGTACATTTAAATTGCGGTAACCACAAGTTCGAAAACACTGAGGTTGCAAGGATGCCTACAAACGTCGAATATATCATGAGATGGACAGGTTTAAATCCCAATAGATATGAACCGCTCACCCATCCGTTGTCACAGGTGCCCATATTGTTGATGGGCACGCCCATGGTGTTCCCGCTACCGTCGGCAGGTGGCCCGATCCAGTCGTTCTTGTCCTTCCCGCCTTCCCACCACTGGTCCCAGTAGAAGCTGCTCATCATCCTGACGAAACCGTACGGGAATGCCAGCATGAACGCGTTGGCCATCTGGGGGAAGAAATAACCATGATTTAATGCTTACACCATGATTGTCCAACAAGTGGTTCAGAGTAAGCACTTAATAATTGCATTGTCACATTTTGAAATTCATGTTGAGACTCATACAGGTTATGACAGGTTAGGTTTAGCGTTAATTTTAAAACATGAATAACTCGTCAACGACACAAGATACATGTACATCTAAAAACGGATGTCAGTTTTCATCTGCTGGTCGAGAGGGCTTTCCAAAGACACCCTGTGCCTAGGGTTAGGGTTACGGCGCAGGAGGACTAGGGTTAGGGTTAACTTTAAAACATGAATTACTCGTCAACGACACCTAAAAACGGATTTCCCTTTTCATCTTTCAAGGCGAAATGACCCTTTTGTCCCACCTTATACAGCCTGCTGTCTCTGAAGGTGAGGATGGACTGTCCGCCTGCCCCATGGCCCCTCTGGTTGTCATGGTTGTCAACGAACACCAGCGCGTTGTTGTCCGGCTGCATGCCCCACCCTTCGCCGAAGTTCCCCAGATGCGCCAGCTTCTGGCCGTTCTGCTTTCTGAAGACGTACCCGAGCTGCATGCCGTACCTGTATCATCACACCGACATGTTACGAGTATCACAATGCCAATGTCAGTTCCAGACAATTTTATTATTTTACTCACCAGCTTCTTATTGTTATCACGCAATCATATTTAACTAGCTGAGTGGTTGCAAAATTTCGTCCTGGAAATTTGTCCCAATTGAAGTTGACGATTTGATGTCAATCATTGATTCAATCATGATCGAACGTTAGAAAAACGGCATATTTCCGTTTCCCTAGAAATTAATTCAATTTGGGAGAAATGATAAAAAGATCTTGTCATGTCTACATTCTGATTTCTAAATGCCACCGCAAGGACATTTTTTGTTGTCTCGTGACATGGTACATTGTACAATATTTCTGATACTTAAAAAACGAAAATCGAAATCATACTTGAACTCCGTGACCCTTCCTAGATGAGTGTACTCTGATGACGAAATCGCCTCTCCGCCCAGGTCGATGACCTCCATGAAGATGAAGGGCCTGGAGCCGGATGGGAAGTAGGCGGTGTTGAGGTCGCTGAGCCGGCCGAAGACGGCGGCCAGGTCTCCCGGCCACATGTGCTTGGCGGCATCGACACGGAAACCGGCAACACCGATGGAGATGAGATAGTTCATGTAGTCTGCGATCTTCCCACGGACGTAGTCGCTACTCAGCTTCAAGTCCAACAGGGCGACCAGGCGGCAGTTACGTACCTGTAGGAAGGGAAGAAGAGAAGAATGTTGCATTACGTAACCGCAACAGACTGATGTGTGGGGCTCGGTACGGCAGTAAACGTACCACAATATATGTATCATTTTTTGTTTAACATTGTTTACTATCTCGAAATTTTAAAATGTTTTTTTTTTTTTGGACCCGCTTTGTTTTTTTCGTCCTATCGCATATATTAGATTTGGAGTCTGCGGAGGATGTCATCCATAAAATTTACGTGCCGTGGCCTTATTGTTGTGACAATGTATTATAAAGTAAGACAGGGTATGATTGATATACTAGTAGTGTTCTCTACGCATTCATCCTTTAGGATTGAAACATCTAACCTGATTAGCGTCGCCATAGTTGTGAATGTTGCAGTCACTGGTGCCGCACGTTCCGCAGTCGTTGAAGTCATTTGCCCCGAACGGCACGCCGGAGAACTCCAGGCTGTCGGTGTTGAAGTAGCTGCCGCCCGTCCCGTGTCCCGAGCCGCCGGCACCGCACATGTGGTTGATGACCACATCCACGTAGATTCTAAGATGTATATAGAGTTGCTGATTATACTAGCACACGATACACGACAGCGTACGAGCTGACTTATTTTCCATCAGAACGATGACAATTGTACCTAGAGTTCCATCATTTCATACCTTCACCAAATCATGTTAACCTTACAATTACGCATTCCAAAGAGTTCTCCTTGATTATGTTAAAAATGGAAAAGAATACCCTCCACCCAACTTGGAGGTGCTCATTGAGCACCGGTCGAAAGCAAAAAAAAATGTTTGTACAAAGCTGGAAAGGTGATGGCAATGTACATACAAATTTAAAGAATCCGCAAAACGACAGCTTTATGTCATACATTATAAAGGTACTATTACCACCTTCATGTTACACCTTGCAGAGAAATGCTATTTACACATGTGCCGATCATGACTTACGGGTGGCACATGACTTGTTTGATGGCACCTACAGTATTTATTGACGTATTCAGTACCTGACTCCCTGCTGGTTACAGCGGTGAACCATGTCTTTGAACTCTTCATCGCTGCCACTCCGGGTGTTGAGGTGATAGCTGATTGGCTGGTAACGCTCCCACCAGGGGCGGTTGGGACTGGTGATCACACGGTTCTCGTTCGCTGGCGACACCTGGCGGAGATTCAAATTCAAGTCATGCACATCTACTCGACTTCATGAACCGGTTAAGAAGTCGACAGACTTTCAGATGTATGTAAATTGTACCAAGACTCAATGCCTTATTTTCTTCAGTGTGCATGCATGCGTCGTCTCAATCAGTCAATGAATGTCATCTTTTGTGTGTGTGTGTGGCGACACCTTAGGACCGGATGTATTTTTGTGTAGTCTTACGATTACTCTGAAAGTATTTCAACATCTAACACATGCTGGTCAAGGGACAAACGGCATATTGTCGTTATCAACACAACTTCACCAGTCGAATAACCATCTAACATCTCGTGTTTGCGCATTATGTTCCAAGTACCTACTCACCTGTTCAAGAAACGCATTGTTACTGAACCACACTGTAAACGTGCGTTCCTATTGATCAAAGCACGATTTGGGTTTATCTCACATGTATATCAATTTCATTGCACTTTAAAAAGTAATAACCGGGTATATGGACATGTCATAAACAGAGTTACATTGAAATAAAGTTACAGTTTTCATATCTTTACCACTCCTTCAGCTAATTGACATTCTTATCTCCAGCTATTTGCCTCGGATGTTGTTATCTTTTACATAACAGCAGACGTTGCTCTTTCCGTCAGCATAATTAGATGAAACATGTCAGCCCATTGATACAACCTGTGAGAGGTCCCACGGTAAAAGTCACGAGACCTTTGCCTTATATACATACTAGTATATAACACACCTAACCTTGCACCACCCAATTACATTCTATCCTCCTGGTGTTGCTCAATCGGCATTTAATTCAAATGTAAGCTGCATTCTACTGTAACGTCAGAAAACACATATGCTTCATGAAGTTAAGACTAACCTTTATCTTCAACACTGAAATGAATTGTGACTTGCCCAAATTTTCTAGTGTTGGAGATAAAGTTTAGTTTTTACTTCATAATTACTTGTACCAACACAGATGAACTTTCATGCACACACGGCATATGCTTCGTTCTGGTAGCATCTAGCTAGCATCTCACCCTCTAAGACAAAATCTTCCCTCACAAAATAGTTGAATTTTGGAGGACACATCCACGGCTGTCCCTCAAATGTCCCCAATTTAGGATCGTATGTTCGTAAACCTATTTCGGCGATGAGAAAAAATTAAAAGTGTTTCAGAGGCAAGACAGTTTTGTCCATATCTTGTCATACGAGAGGGGCGCTCCACATCTGTACACCATTGTGGATAAATAGTGAATGAAGGAAGAGACAGAACCTAGAGTCTTTCAAATCAGTTGTAGCAGGGAACAAGGTAGTGGACATTTTCGTAGTTACAACATATGTACATGACAGCGGCCTTACCTGTACACCGCCGAAGCCGTAGGGTCCCAAGAACCTCTCACACTCGGCTGCGATGTCCGCCCATCTCCACTCGAACAGGTGCACTATGGCCTGTTTGTTGTCAGCCGTGTTCGGGGCATGTTGGGCGAGGGTGACGCTCAGCCCCGCAAGGAGTAGGATTATAATAGACATTTCTATAAGAAGAAAGAAGAAAATACAATGTGTCAGTAACAGTAATATTCTACACATCTCAAAGTTTTGAGTTGTATCTATTCAAGCAAAATATATACCTTAAGCATTTTTTCAGATCTTTTGTTCTACTGAGTGTGTAACAAAGGCTACGACAGAAAATAAGTAAGCAACATAGTCAAAGCGTGGGGAAAGGAGGCGGTATGGTAGAAAATGTGATATTTTCGTTTCTTTTGAACATAATGTAGCGTATATGCTGGTAAGTTTGCCTACACGCTTCCAATATGGGTCGTCGGCTCAAAAGACTACCGAGTGTGGGCAATTGGTTCTGATGTTGCACATAATATCGAAAAAAAGTTTATCATTCGAAAGTAAAATTGTCGAGAATCAGATCGTTTGACTGTAAGCTTCAAGCACTTACCTCAAATTTTCCTTCAACTTCTGCTTCGGTCGTAGACAGTGCGGGGAAGTTGGCGAGCGAATTTATACAAAAATTGTAGGCGTCTTTAAAACAGTTTTGTTTTTCATCTACCAAAGCTGTATAGTGTAATATTCAAAACGCAGACGGAATAGTATAATGCGGGCAAAGAACTATGACAAGTTAGGAAACATCATTGGTGGAATGAAAGTTTGCACAATGTGATTTATAAATGTTAGCTTTAGCAAAATGCTTCGGGATGTTTCGTCTATTTGATAAAACGTTACGATTCTGTGACATTATTGTATAAAGCTGAAACAACGAAACACCATCTTGTTTTGCATTTGCCCCCCAAAAAGCACGTGTGATACACGCGACCAACGTATGTTTAATCGCTAGCTGTATATTAAAGGCTACTCTTATTTAGTCTTCATATCTCTGCGATAAGATATGACGCCTTTACGCTGGGAATAACAATCTTCACCTTATGAAATAACTAGTATATACAAGTACTTATACAATTGGCATAATGTTCCTTTTCACTGAATGGAGACCGTTGGGTGATTTGAATGAAGCATGACACCATGAATTAGATATGATGCAAAAGTATGATTTGGTCATTATAAGTATTTACATAAGGTTGGAGCTCTCTGTTTTCACACGCAAAAAGAGAAAATTCAATGTCAGCAAATGTTTAAAGGTCGTGTGGCTAGACGGCAGTTGGAGGAGGGGTATTCAAGGACTGTAGATCTACTTCAAACGTGCTTTAACAGGTGGTCTCACAACGTCTTGAGGTACATGAGCAAACAAGATTAGCGTAGATCTAACTCCGCAATTCCCAGGAAGGTGTAAATCGTACGTACTTGAAGAGGTGAAGTCGTGTTACTCCGCGTTTTACGATGAGAAACCGATGTCTGTTTTGGACAAGAGTATTTGATTGATTTACGCTGTTATCTGAACCATTCTGGTACACACATACCTCCCTTCACACGGCTTTCAAATGGACCCTGGAAACAGAATATATATGGCTATATAATGTCAGAAACAATTACGTCACGTTGTATAATTTGGATGTATTATGGTACTAAACTCACGACAGTTGGTGTGCGAGTATAGAAGACCACCTAGATTATACAACACAGGCAAGTGCAATTTGCCTATTTCAGCGCTATATGTCGACGGTCGGTAGTACGCTCTCTCGGTCACTTCCCAAGCGGCCGGTCGCTACTTCGAGTCGGTGTTTGAGGCTTGTTTTAACCCTAACAGAAACTCAAGGACGTCGACATTTGCCTGTTTGCTATAATATAAGTAGAAGTTTATTGCACAACAAAAGTAGCGTGTACAATGTAAGGCAACTTGTACACGCGAATGTGAACTTAGAAATAGACCAATCTATTTCTATCAATTGAATAGCATTTAAGATATACTCAACTAATACTATACTAACTCGTAAAAAATATACAAGGGTACTACTATATATATATATAATATGGTGTTAGTGTTACATTACCTTTTCGTTTGTTTGTTTTGTTTGTGCCTTGGTTTATTCAGAATTAATTGATGATTAATAATATTAAATGAGCCGATTTCACTGAGGCCATGAAGAAGACGTCAGTGTCAGACAAAAACATGACGTGACCTTATACGATCTGAAGGTCGGTGCCCTTAGGGGATATGGAAATACGATAATGTCAGGTTTAACATAACTACCTGTGACGTATAACCTACGCCACGGAGCTCACGTACTCACGGTACATGTTTGTTATGAGCTATGTGAGTCATATTCCCTATCTCCAAACAGAATATTCTAGAAATTCCGTTAGACATGCATACGTTTCTTTTTTAAGTTTCCTTATGTTTTGTCTCTTTACCTCTGTGAAGGACGAATAAATTTTGTTGTATGTGTGTGACCGTCTGTGGGTTTGTCTGTCTGTCTGTCTGTCTGTGTGTCTGTTTTTGCTTTCGAACTACTACTTCTTTGAAGTTGGCCAGCACAGCACAAAAAGCTTTAGGTAGATTGTGATCATATTTGATATGTGGGTAGGTTTAGGCAAGAAAAAGGTCAAGGTCATTTACACCTGAGGAATGTTGGGTTAAGTGGCTATTTCAAGGACACAACGTCCAGCCCGGAATGACAGGAATCAAACCCGTGGCCTCTGGAGTCCAGAACGACTTGGCCATCGACGCTACCTAACATAATAAGGCTACGAGAGAGCAAATGATTTGACAATTTATGATAAACTCCTATTCGGGGGAATTCCCCTCTATTAACGTTATCCTTTTCACAAAGAAGCGAATCAATGTCCGGTAAAAATAACTTTTTTTGCAAGTTAGGTTCCTAAGCATAAGTAAGACCAATGATATCATTTCCGTGGTAAAACGTCTGAGGGGTGTGCACCTTTGTTAAGTCTGTATCAATGTATGGCATAGTTCCTGTGTTTGAGGGAGCTTCAGCACATCAGCCTCAAGCTAAGTGTCAAATGTCACGTAGAAGAACCCAACACACGTCCGTCTTGAGGAGAAGCCCTACGGCAGGGTATGCTCCGGTACTGTGCTTGTCTGAAAACGCTAGCCATGACGAGGGCGCATTGCACTACTCATAAAAGCATCAACTCATGATGATGCTTCACCTCAGTCTGGAGTCCGCCTTTTGAAATTTACGCTTGACTTTTACAGCAGTGTGCCATCATGGCACTTGTACGGGCATATCTCACGCCAAATTTGCAATCCTCGCTTCAGTGCCACAGAAAAGACATGCCCTTCCCAACTTGCGACGTACCATGACGCGCCATGGAGTGTTTCAACACTTTGGTATTTATAGTAGGCATGCGCCCGCTGAGCAAATACCACTTTGGTCGGCCTGATCATTCGATCTTTTCTTCTAACGTCAGAGAATCAAAAGGTAGGAAGTCACTGTTTATCATTGATACCTGTTTTTGGCAGCGTTTGGCACTCCTTCTTCCTTTTTTGGCCGGACAAGGTTAGTGGGCGACGAGGGTGAGTTTTTCTCTGCTTGAGTATCGAAAAGTTTCATGAGCGCTTCGTCATCAAGGTAGTCAGAAATAGCGTAATAAAGGTTAAAACGTTGTGTAGATGAACGTTCTTCTTCGTCAAGTCCTGTTGAATTATTTTCGAAGTTTTCAACGCTGAGAAAAGGTTTGATGCAATGTCAACCGGTTGTTAATCCGTAACATGCGAAGACTATTTCGGGTGTCAAACAACTTAGCAGGGCTTACACCCGATTTCCTCGGGCACTCAAAGCATTCATGCCCACCTCCCAAATTCAGCCCTTCATTGAAAGCAAGCTGGTTCTGCAAAAGCTTCGTGGGAGGGTCAAGTTCGAGAGGTGGGAATTTATAATTAAAGTGGTCGATATAACTTATCAACTAGGGTTCTGCAACGAAAGGACAGGAATGCGTTGGACATCATTGTCAAGATTGCACGTCAAGAATTTGACCGATCTGACGAAATAACAACATATAATCATAAGAGAGGCAGTTTTTTTTCTATTTGACAAACTATCATGTATTTCCGCAATAACCTTTTAGTTAAAAGGTCGGTCAGTCTGTACTTGTACAGCTGAGGACATGCATGATTGCAAGCATACACATGGCTGTCCATCGAGGAAATAGAGCAGGGTTAGAGAGTTTTCTAGAAGCCTTCATATTTTTTTTAATTTCCATTTAAGCTTAATAAGGAATGAAGATTGTGATTAGGGTGTGATACTTGTAATGTTGGATACCCAAGCAGATGTTGGGTAGAGAATCTTAACGTTTTCTGACCTGCTGCTTTTTCTGACAGTACTCCAACAAGCCCTCAAGCTTTCATTCAGAGTGCTGTTAATATGGCCACGGGGAAGGGCAGAAACACCTTTTTAAAGGTGTTTCTGCATGTTGGGGGCAGACTACTGTCAAAAAAACATCCGATTAGATTTTCTATCCCAACATCTGCTTGGATATTACTATCTCTCCACAGTGGTAGTTGTTTTTGAGAGAAAGACTAGTTTAAACATTTGGCCAGCCTTGTAGTAACTTGCTGAGCACTGCTGATTTACTGTTTATACAAGACCTGTTTTCTGTTTTTGTCAAATGGCAAGCAAATTTACACGGTTGTTTGACGGATGGATCTGTTGACGCGTAAATTTGAAGTGAATAAAGTCTGTCGATTCGGAGGCCAAAGAGATTCAACTGGGCAGAACAAATTACATTGAACTGTTTTCGAGAACGTGCCATGTGCCGGCTGCATTTGCCTCCGTTCGTTTTAACGGTTGTATTGAAATAATCCGTATGGGGAAGAACATGAACCGTCTTGTTTTCGCTCGTACCGGCAAAAAGAATCCTACAATACAACACATTGATGGTTTATACGTAGAAATTTCCCAGAATGTTTGCTGTGTCGACAATGAACCCATCCTTAACTCACAGAGAGAGACTAACGCTGCTCGGGCTACTCAGTCTAAATAGATGTGATTAATTGGTCAGTTGATTGATGGATTTTTGCCTACTAAAATTGGGAGGGGCGGGGACTATCAATCATCTATACAGCATAGCTTGACCTGTGTTCACACATTCGACACTTCATTTGCATTTTCCTGTGGTGGCGTTTTTGTGGTATCTCGAAATACCGTTCGCACGATGTTGTCTCTGTGCGTGAGTTCTGAATGACGTGCCCGTATAACCCTTAACCAACCCACGCCAAGTCACTGTACATACAACCAGTTGCAAGGTCATACTGTTGTTCAAGGAAAACTTTAAACGTGTAACGAGCAATATTGATATTTTGATATGAAATTTCCAGACTCGGTTTTTAGTATTCCCAATCGCAGTAACAGTGCTGATAAGTATTGACAATTGGCCATTAGTAATTCGTAATTTGTTCCATCACTTTTCAGACAGTTGTGAAACTCATGGCGTCGCTACGAGACGGAAAGATGAAGATTATCGCACTCATCGCCATCATCGTTTTGACCACGACCGGAATATCAGGTGTAGCCATCCCTCGTCAGGAATTAGCATCCGAACGCACCAGGCCCACCTACGACCGTTGTCAGTATCGGCCATTCTCCAATCTCTTGTCGTGTCAACTACAGACCCACAGGCCCTTTGAGTACAACGCCGTGTATCCCACCAGTTTCGGCTGTTCCTTCACGGACAGACCGATAAGATCCGGACAGATCTTGGTGCCCTCGGACGCCCTGGAGGCAGACGCCGAACGTTTTGCAGACCGTAACGTCATGACAGCGGTGGAAACAGCCCAACCAGACTACAGAACTGAAACAACAGAGATCCGTGAGGTACGTACATTACATGATGGCATTTTGTCCTTGCTACGCTAAAAAAGTCCGTCTTATCGTATTCGTCGTGGGCCGTCGTGCAATGATGATGTCGCAAGAGTTTCTACCAGACAGAACTAGCCATCGATAAGGGTACGACAGCTGGATTTTGGACCACATATGCACATCTATCGGCAAAATGCCCTCAGTTTACGATGACCAGCAAGTCATATAGCTACTGTAGAGGACAATTCATTAAGATTTATCTCTATATCTATATCTTGAAATGGAAAATGATTTAGAAGCGTGTTGCAGCAAAGCAGGACTATTCAGTGGTTACTACAGATAATCTCTCTAGGACCACATTTCCATCAACGTCTTTTCATTGACTTTTGCTAGACACATCATCTACATGCATTGGGGGAGCATTTCGCCATGGCGGATGGACTCACCGCAACACACAGGGACGAGAGGGATGAAACGGGCGGGCCTGGACCGGACGACAGCCAGACGGACGACAGCCTAACGGACGACAGCCAGACGGACGAAAGCGACCGTGTCGTAAGGTCTCGTAACGACCCATCCATCCCAACCTGCTCACTGTGGCGCCGAATAGACAGCCCTATCTACGCCTACAGAGACGAGGAAGGAACAGACCAGGTACACTTCTTTTCGAACAGCACATGGTAGCTTATAATGCGTCTCAGACTACTTGAATATTCCTCAAGTTGAAGAATAGTAGAGTAGTGATAAAACCGGCCACATCAGGCCATGTCAAAATTTCCTTGTGGGTATGCTCTCGGCTCCGCAGCCAGAGAGCTGACCTGTATAGACCCTGGAAACAGTCTGACATCCATACTTTTAGTGGAGGATGCATGGGAGAAGATATTTTAAATGGATTTCGTAAAATGGGAATTGACGCTGCAGTTGTAGGGTAGTACGAGTAATCTTGAATTATGGTTGTACTTTCGCCACCATAGGTCGAGCTGTACTTCTACGAGGGGAACTACCAGTGGTTTCACCTGTCCAGCTGCCATGGCAGCAACCCCGGGCCTGTCGTCAACTGTGCGGGGGACTGCCTGCAGATCAGGCTCCAGCACCGGGCAGTGGTGGTGCGGCAGGACCTCACGGCGGAGTGGGACTGGGTCTGGTTGGACGGGGGGTGTACCTTGCACATCTAGGGATAACACATAGCCTCATAACAACCGACCGTACACTTCCAGGGATCTTCTCCGTACTAGGTGTGTTGCCCGATCGCCCAGGCCAGTTTTTACGCGGTGGGAAAAATGACTGACTGGGTGAAATACACCCTTGCCGATACCAGGCCAGAAATATGAATATGACGGTTCAGTGTTATATAATAGTTGCTGTACAAAGGGTTGCAATTATACATTATACGGACACGATGTAATCCCTTATTACAACAGCTTATAATACTGACCCTAGACATTCTATAAATTAAAAATACCAATAGCATGAACTATGTATTCAGACATTGTTAAATGGAATACTTCAATAACTTTTCGAAACAAGCAAATGTGTAAAAATGATGTTGTTTTCAAGACACTAACTGTAATTGACATCTTCATCACTGTTGTTATGTAATATTTCTTGCCAATTTCTGAAGAGGCCAGTCTGTTACGGTTGAGAGAGACAGTGTTTGAAGACAACAATAAAAGGATAAAGACAGGAATAAACAGGTGTCCTGAATAAACAAGTTGCTTAAAGTACGGAGCTTACAACATGCCTATACAGACATTCAAGTCCAAAGAAAAAGAACTACTATTTTTAAAATGTATGATGCTAATGAAGAATTATTTCCTTCTCGGGTTGTACTACCAACTTTATTTAGTTCTTATACATATCCAGGTACATCTGACATAGAAACAGCAGCATATAAGCAGGTCCTGTAAGATGTTACAGCCTTGCAAGTGACACCACCATGGCATGCTTGAAGCAAAATGTTCCATCATTTTAATTCAGAGATGGCCAATAAGTAATAAGGAGATTAAAAGAAAGCAAAGTCTTCATTGACTACATACCAGAGTCCTGTTATGTGTACTAGTGCTTATTTTAGCAGATGCAGATCTGTACTGAAACATATGTACCTGTACCGGATGTTACATTATGCAGTTCTTGTGAACACCCTTATGACAATAACTATGGGTAAACACAAAGGGTATTAAGGCATGACTACCTTGCATACAAAAAAAATCACAAAAGAGCCTACAAAAAACACAAACTCTAACAAGAACATAGGATCACATATTTAACTAGAGTTCCCCGATCTCATACCTTCGCCAAATGATGTTAATCTTTATAACTGACAAAGTTTAGATTAGATTATTCTCCCCTGATTTAAGAAATAGGAACCTAATTTTCATGAATTATATCATTTTATCATAATCTCAACCAAAAGACAGTCTTATATTAACAAAGAATGCATTCTAGCATTTTTGTAATTGTATACATAATACATAATTGTAAAATTTTCTCATTAATTATGCAAATTAAGTCATTATTAGCATAATTAACATCTTCCTGTGTTTCTCTCGTTGTCAATTACCAATGTCACAAGCTTCAATTGTCCTATCATGGAATGCAGCTGATTTATAGAATTTCGCCATAAATTATGCAAATTACATCCATATTTGCATAATAGTCACATAATTATATTAAACATCACGTAAGCTACCTACATACCAAAAATCACGACGATCCGTCAACCGGTTCTTGAGTTATCCCCTTTTGAATATTTTCAAGAATTTATCCCTGCAGTTCCAGAGCAGGCCGCTAGGGGCCTAAACTCACGTCACTTCTTTCCCAGCACAAGAGCTACCTACCATCTAAATTTCATCACCGTAGCATGTCTAGATCATGAGATATCAAAACCGGAAGTTCAGCTGCAGTACCATAACAAGCCGCTAGGGGGTCCAAAATCTAATCATTTTGAGGTCTCATCAAGACCTACCCACCTACCAAGTATCAAGACAATCCATCAAGGCCTTCTCAAGTTATCGTGTTTACAGACAAACAGACAGACAGACAGACACACACACACACACATACACGAACGCCCCTGAAAACATAACCTTCTTGGCGAAGGTAATTACAAAAATGCAACATAAACTAGAATGGCCACATTTGTGAGCCGATACAGCATTCTTGACTCCATCTCTCTTCTCATGCAAAAATGGACTGTTCATATCAACCATTTCAGGTCAAACAATTCCATGTCATTTGGCTGGAATATGCTTGAAAAAATGGCAAGAAACAGATGAAATAAAACAATATATTTCACTTCAATACCTAGGGCATGGTGTGAAATATAAAGAAGGAGTACTTGTAGTACACTCAACTTTAAATTTTCTTCAAAACAATTGACTGGATACTGCAAAAATACTGAAATATACTGTGACAATAATGAATAATAAAATATCTCTTCACTCTTGGGTCTCCATTATATATAAATATCACAGCTCCTTTAAACAGCTCCTTAGATATTCACACCATTCTCCATTGTACAAAATATCTTACAACCTGATCTTCCACAAACATTCCCAAATAGCACAATAACTATACTCTTGATGTTAACTTTCACTTGGGTTATTCATACAAATACAAATGTCACAGGACCTTAGCAACACACGGGTTAATATTGCACGATAACTTCTGGTGCATATAACTGAAGTCTTGGAGGAATTCTAAAACAAAATAATCCTGACCCACTTTGAGTCATTGTAAGAGGCTGAAATTGCACAATCCATGTATAAAACATACATGTATCTCTATACTTAGTATATCATATGCCTGCTTTCATTTCCCACAAATTCCCACATACTGGGTACACACACTGTATTAGGTATTCTCCTGTTTCAGTCTTGATTATGTTGATGCTGCAGCAGCATTATGTTGTACCAGCCTTGCTAGGGATTCCAGTTATCATTGCAAAGTGGACCAAAGCTGGACAAGGCAGAATACCAGGAAAGGTTTCAAGTACTAAAAATAAGTAAAATAGTTATTGACAGTCAACATGACATGAGAAGT